TTTGAACTATCTGTCCAGCTCACCTCTGAATCATTTGGTAAACTGGCTTTCCAAATACGTCAATTGAGCTTGTTAAAACCTTGTTCAAAATGTTTAAGGGCAAATGCCAGCAATTATATGAAGGTGGGAAAACAAATCTAATCGTTGGTTGCTTACTTCATGTCTGACTGGCCAATAATGTGTTTTTGTAATTGGAAAGCATCTAAATGAAAGCTGAAAATACATCAAATTGCAGAGCTGTACAACTGCAATTTATTTGTGAGATTTTTCCTTTGACTTAAAGGTTGTTGAAGTCTATTGGAACATATTTTAAAATGCTACAGCAACAACTTGCATTTATGTAGAGCTCTTCAAGCGGGGCAGCATCTCTGTAGCACTTAAAATAATAATCCTTGTATCTGATATAGCGCCTTATTACTTCATTGAGATGTCTCAAAGTGCTTCACAGAATATATTGTGTATTTTGTGGGCGAAACACGGCAGCCAATTGTGCAGAGCAGTGTCCCACAAACAGCAATGGATTGAGTGACCAGATTATTTGCCTGGACGGATTGAGAGACCAACTCTCCTAATGCCTAGTTTACACAGTATTACACATCTGTCTGTGATACGACCCTTGACATGAAGAGAGTGAAAAAGAAGTTCTTCTTTGAAGTTCTGGTGACCAACAGACCCCTCAGTTGCCATTGTCACTGCCAGTGACTGAATGATCATCAGCAGTAACTGAATACCAATGACAACATTCAGTATCTTCAGAATGGTTGACAGTTTCTTTCCACCCAAAGAATTGGAGAACGTTTAGAAGAGCGAAAGGAGAATTCTGAAACTTGTAGCTCTAAATTATGCAGCAAGACGCACAAAGTCAAACCTGTTTATTCATCATAATAATCATTGCATTTGATATAGTCAGTGCCTTGGGACATCCTCCCGACGTGAAAGGTGCTATATAAATGTAAATTTGTTGCTGTTGTTGTAGTGCCTTATTGCTCATCGAAATGTTTCAAAGTACTCTACAGGATTAACTCTAAAGTGTAATAACTGTATTTGTAGATTAATGTAGCAACCAATTTGTGCACAGCAATGTCCCACAAACAGCCATGACATGAATGACCAATTTTATCTGGGGGAATTGTTGGCCAGGATACTTCCCTTTTTTTTGAATAGTGCCCAGAAGATATTTAACTTCCGTGCTCCACACCTCTGTTTACCTTACAGTAAGTAGAAATCTGGTTGTCAGTCACAGGAACATAGGAACAGGAGGAGGCCATTCAGCCCCTCAAACCTGTTCTGCCATTTAATCAGTTTTTGGCTAATCTGTATCTCAACTGATCCTTTCAATTCCAATTTCCCGCTTTCTCCCCATAATCCCTTAATACCCGGACCTACCAAAAATCTATCAACCTCACTCTTGAAGGTGTGAATGGATCCAGCATCCACGGCCTTTTGGGGAGAGAATTCCAGATTTCTACCACCCTTTTAGTGAAAAAATGCTTCCCAATTTCACTCTTAAATGGCCTGGTTCTAATTTTAAAACTATGCCTTAAATTAGTCGATTTATGCAGATCAATTTTCCAGGGGTAATAATTCCCTTAAAAAAAATTGGTCACTTCAATCCACAACTGCTTGTGGGGCACTGCAGTGCGCAAATGGCTGCCACATTTCGCTGACAAAATATACAGTCAATTCATTTCAAAGTATATTCTGTGAAGCGCTATATCAAATGCCCTATATCAAATGCAAGAATTATTATTATTATTATCCTTAATAGAGTTTTGAAGGTTGGGATAGAGACAGCAGAGATGGTGGAAGAGAATTTCAGAAAGCGGTGATGTAGTGGCTGAAAAGTGTAAGGACTGACCAGAATTGGAGGAACAAAGAGTTTGAGCAAAAAAGAATTGCAAATGAGGACCATGAAGGGATTTGATAGTCAGGAGGAGGTTCTTAGTCAATTCACTGTGCACTGAGGGCCTGTGAAGTCTGGCAAGGCTGGGAAACACTTAAGATGGATGCAACTGAGCACAATTACCTTTCTAGAGTTGAGCTCACAGTCCTCGTTAAACAGAAAAAAAATCTTTTTTTTACTTATCTCTCTGGAAATCAACTGTCAAAATCAAAGTCAAGCAAAAAAACTCTATTGAATCCTGGAGTTTGCTTGATGTTTACTAGAACTGAGGAATCTATGACTATTCTCAATTGTAAGAGCTCTACCACATGGGTGGAGCTTGTTCTTAGATCTGATTTCAATACCTTCAAGGGGCACCTGCTACCATCTAAGTAGTATAAACATTTGGCTTTCAGACAATTAGCTTGATACAGATACTATGCACATCAAATATTGTAATGGGCAATTTTATTTTACTGTGTTGATGAATCAAGCGTTCTATACTTTTTTCCATCAATAATAAGTCTTGCATTTGTTGGTGCCATTCACATCACGAGAAAGACTCAAATCCTTTACAAGATACGCTGTAAGATGTAGTGACTATGTATTCTGCAGAATGAATCTGAACGTTGCAAAGTCCCACAAAAAGCCATGAAGTGAATGATGAATTTTACTTGGGGAATTGTGGGCCAGGACAGCGGGAGAAACTCCATTCTTTTTTTGAGTGCCATGGATCTTTAACATCCACCTGACTAGGCAGACGGGAAAATGGTACAGCATCTTATCCAAAGGGGTCAATTCAGTCAATCCAGCACTCCCCCAGCACTGCATTGGAATGTCAACCTCGATTTTATGAGTTTCAAACTCTGAAGTGGGGAACGAACCCAATAACCTTCTGACTCAGAATTGAGAGCACTACCAAAGGAGCCAGACGTTCTAAAAAGCTATGGCATAACTATGGCAATAGCTAATGTAGCGAGTCCACTCAGTGATAGGGGCATAGGTTTTTTTAATGGGATATCTACTTAAACCTCACCACTTTTGCGATATCAACAATGATAAATCTCATACGTAGTTTATACATTGACGCTTTGCCCACAAGACCCTACATAAGTAATCTCTGGATGAAAATGCGCAGCTCTAAGTATTATTAACATCAGTTCCTGCATCATGTCAAGACAGCATCTGTATAAAAGAAGTTGATTTTTAATTCCACACAAGGAGGAATTCCTGCAGCTTTGTGGAAATTAAAATCGCTGACACCATATGCAGCGCTACTTCTCTGTGGATACTTGGCCAGTGCATATGTTGATACACACTGTTTCCATTCTTGCTGAAATAAACGTGACTTCTGAAGTAATCAGTTGATTCAATTTAACCAGTCTTGCAGCGGCTGAGATTTTAACCGCTGAATGCCTGAAGAAGTGCTGTTTAGTGCAAAATATACAGTCAATGCATTTTACAGTATATTCTGTGAAGCGCTTCAAGACATCTCAATGAATGATAAGGTGCTGTATCAAATGCCAGGATTATTATTGCTATTTTTAATATTAGTGTACCTTAAGACAGTCACAAATCTCATAATCTACATCAAACGCACATTGTCTAGAATTAAAGATAGATGTTACACAAAGTTATCGTTATTTTGCCAATGAAAATTTATATTCTTCCATTAATTATTATCTTCAGCTTGGTGCTGTATTCAAATTTGAACGGTGTGGTGATACTTGTGTGTGTAACAGCAGGTTTTAATTCCCCGTGCTTCCGTCTCTAAAGCTACAGGTCCTGGGTTTAGCTCCAGCAGAGCTTTGAGTCCCATTGCCATTATAAGGTCATGCCACTTGATACCCAGCAACTATGTCAAATACAGATGGTATTCCTCAGATTACCCCGCCCTGCTCAAAACTCACTCAGGTGACAAGAGCTGATGTGCCCCTCTGAACTGCAATTTCATGGGACCAGATCAATTTCACACACTCTGCATGACACATACAGCCTATAAGAAGGTACAGCCTTACCCACTGATGCAGTTCAGGTTCAGCTGCAAAGTTTATTCTTACAGAACGATAATATGAGCCTGCAGCCCACTACAAGCAGAGGAGTGAGTGTTTCGTATGGAACAGCAGTAACCAAATATGGATATCAAATGTGATTATATCCTTCAAACAAATGGCAAATAGGTCACAATATTCTTTTAACTCATTCAAAAATCTGAGATTTCATAAACAAATAGTTTGGAGGTGCACTCAATGTCACCATGGCAGCCCACTAAAACCATGTTCCAAAGGAAGCAGAAGAAATAGAATGCATCTTTTGTTTGCAACATTTCTGACTTAGTTAGGCAACATGCAACTTATGTACACATATACTACACAAGAATCTCTGAACAGAAGATAACATGTGGTTCCTTTGCATTGTTCCTGTGCAGTGCTATGATGTCTTGTTTTGGGGATTCATGTACTAGTTCACAATATCTCAAGATTGATTCATATATCTAAGGCTCTCTCATCTTTCCAGAATACTCACCTTATGGTCCTCCCATCACTGCATTAAGCTTTTTTTTCATAATGAGTTCAGAGTCCTGGCCCGCAACCACGCTTCCTGATAATCTGTTTCAGCTGTTATCACACTGTGGGTAAAGAAATATTTCCTGGTGTCTGTCCTGAAATTGCCCTTTCCAAATAATGCCATTGTCTTGGTGCATCTGAAAACATTATTATTAATATTGACCTGGGTTTACTTTTTCAATCCCATTTAAAATGTTAATCACCTCTAACAGGTCCCCTCTGAATCGTCTTCTCTCAAGACTGAAGAGACCTAGTTTGTTTACCATTTGATCATACCTATTCCTCTAACATAAGGGATTATTCTCATTGCTCTCCTCTGCACTGGCACTAAGGCCTGATCTGTCCCCTTATGTTGTGGTGACCAGAACCATTTGGCCTGACCAGAGCACTATATTGGTTGAGTATGTTAGGGATTTGAACTTATCTGATTTGGTGATATAGCCCAGCATTTTGTTTGTCTTATTTATGCTGCCTCACACTGTTTTGACACGTTGAGAGATAAGTCAATTAACAGCCCTAGATCTCTTTCAGCTTCCCCCTTGGCAAGTTCTATGTCATCCATGGAGTTTGTGTGTTTCCTATTCTTAGTTCCTATATGTAGTATAATTGTATCTATCTGTATTAGACTGTATTTGCCAGGTATCAGCCTATGTGCATACCCTCACAAGTTATCTTTGTAAGATCTTTGCTGCCTCCTCTAATTCCACAGTTCCCCCCAATTTGGTGTCATCTGCAAATTTATACCTTACACTCCAGGTCCTTAATATCTACAAGGAACTGGAGGTTACAGAGGGGTCCCAGTTCAGACTCCTGCTTAATATCTCCCTGATTTTGACCTAACATCCCTAACAATGACCCTTTGCTTCCTTCCCCTGTGTCAAATCTGAATCCATGCCCTTGTCTGGTTCTTGATACCCAGTGACCTCATTTTGTGAAGGAATCTTTCTTGTGAAATCTTATCAAGCACCTTTTGGAAGTCCAGATATATTATGTCATGTGGCTTCTGGCAGTCAATTTGGGCTGTCACCTTATCAAAAAAAAGTCTATGAGGTTAGTCAGACAAGACCTATCCTTTTTGAACCCATGTTGGTTGTTATTTATTAGGTTATTTTTATACAAGTATTCCATTTTTTTTACCTATAATTGACTCCATCATGTTTCCAATTACTGAGGTCAGACTAATAGGTCTATGATTGCAGGGATGGTTCTGTCACAATTGGGTTATGGGTCCACCATTTGCTTGCTTCAAGGCTTTTGGAACCTGACTGGTGGTGATTGATTCCCTATTAACGTCTGTCAATACTACACAAATCTACTGCCTCAGCTCCCTATGTACCTTAGGGTACAGTTCACCGTCCTTGAGCCTAGCTAGAAACTCAGCCTGACTTATGTTAAAGTCCTGGAACTCAAACCACTCTGAATGTTGGGAGGCATATTTTCGGTGTCCTCCCTAGTAAAGAACCTCCAGGAAGTCACCATTTAATATGTTTGATATGGCCTGTTAGGACTTCGAACTCATTATGGTTCATCAGGCACTCCAACACAATGCTGTGGAGGTACAGAGGTGCTGTATTTTGGATAGAATGTTAAGTGAGGGACCCGTCTGTCTGTTGAGGTGGATGTTAAAGATCCCATGACACAATTTTAAAAAGATATGGCCTTTTTTTCCAGTGTCCTGCCCCCAAATCCCTGTGAAATAAAATTGGTCATTAATTTACTTAATATTTCTGCGCATAAAATTGGCTGTCAAGTTTGCCTACAAAATACAGTCACAACACTTTACAATCAATAATAATAATAATCCTTGCATTTGATATAACGCCTTATCACATCTTCAAGACATCTCAAAGCGCTTCACAGAATATATCGTAAAGTGAATTGACTGCATTAACTGCAATCCCATGAAGCAATTAATGACCGATGTGTTTGGTGATATAATACATAAAAACTTGATTGACCATTCTGACCATATCTGAAGGTTATTGAAATAAGAGTCCCTCGACTCTCTTTTTTAAAAAATCTTTTTGTACTTCAGTGTTAATTAAAATGTCCCCTTTTATTGTTCTTTAAACTCAAAAGATAAATCCGACAAAAGTCTCCAAGTGTTTGAGATTTTAACCCCTAATGGCCTGAGATGGTGCTAATTGGTGCAATTTACATTGATCTATTTTAAGATAGCCATAAATCTGACAATTTATGACAAACGTATGATCCAGAGTTGAGAAGAATGGATATTTATTATGTGAAGACTTGTTTCAATTAGTCTTCCACTATTATGCATTAATATTGAGATAATCTCCACGGTAGTGGTGAGAAATAAAAGTAATTTTGCATTACATTTCCAAAAGTTGATGCATGGCGAGTTATTTTATAAATTGCTATTTGTATTTGCAAAGCACACTTATAAATACGGCTTAAGCTCCATGCAAAATGCACACCTAAAATATACAGCTGTAAACAATATTTCAGCTCTTTCTGCATCAGCCACTCAAGGAAGGAACTTAACAGCACTGAAAAAATCTGGTCTTTAACATCGAACAATATTGAGTGTCCTTTGATTTGCTGCCGGCTAGAGCTTACTGAGACTTAAAGGGATGATCAATGTCACCATGGCAGCCCATTAAAACTGTGTTCCAATGGCAACAGAGGAAATAGAATGCATCTTTTGTTTACAACATTGCTGACTTAGTTAGGCAACATGCACCTTACGTACACATATACTACACAAGAATCTCTGAACAGAAGACAACATTTGGTGATAGCCATTTTCATCTTAAATTCAGTAGTTTACATATTAATATGCTTGAGTTAAGTTCAATTTGCCTCAGTGTCTATGATAACATATCTACATGGTTATGGATGCACAACCAACAAGCAGAATGAGTCAAATGCAAATATTCTCCATCCACAAATACGACATGCATAACATAAGTAGCTACTTTTGTAATTGTTGTTTATCTACTGCGACAGCTGTAAGGCAAGCTTGATGCCACACCATGCTCGTTCAATGAAAGCTGGCTCAAGATTGCCTGAGCTAATTTTATTTACAATCCGAACAGCTGTCAGAGCAACAGAAACTTCATCCCATCTGCCCGAGACAAATCTGAAATCAAAAACCACAAGGTGGGAGGAAAGTGTTCCAACAAGGGATAGATTTCAAAATCTTCAGCACACAGCTGATATCATCTGCCAGTTTCCTGATGAGAGGGATTGGAAGAAATATGCTTCTTTGGATAATAGTAAATGAATGGTAAATAATTGCTCTGGATCCACCTACACACATTCAGAGAGTTGACTGCCAAAAGCTGCGAAAGGGGTTACTTCATAGAAAAACTAAGTAAGGGTATCCAATGAAATCCTTATTGAGAGGCACCATTGATAATCAACAGAAATACAGCTCCACACTTCTCTAGTCAGAGTTCTGGAACGCAACACCACTGGACTCTGTCAAAACATGGTGGTTTGGATCCATAAAACCAGACCTGCATAATAATGAGGCTTGCTGTAAAAATGGTTGCTGGTTCATGCTTCTGAATAATCAATTCGCCACTGGCGTCACTTCCTAGGCCTGTACTTGCATAAAGGAAGACAGCAGTTGCTCTTGCGAGTGTTTCCAGTAGTTATTGAGATATCACTTCTAGGCCTACGGTTTACACAAAGGAAACCAGTCAGCTATCACCGGAAGCGAATTGCATTTCCACTATTCCACACCGGAAACTATACCGTGATATACCGAAGTATGCTGTATCAGAGTCCAACTGTATTCTGCAAACCTGTGAAGGAACAAGGTTACAATTACGTTAAGTCTACGACAGCATGAACCCTATTGTCTTTACAGCTGTACAACAACAAGTTGCAGCATGGACAAAGGTGATCTGAAGATGGACAAAGAGAGGGCAAGGTGAAGGGATTGAGGCAGAGAGTTCCATAATTTTGGGGCGTCGTGGCTGAAAACACAGCGCTGATAGTGGCACAGAAACGACGAGGGAAGTGCAGGAGGCTGTACTTTCAAAAGTGATGGAAATTATCCTCAGTTCTCAAGTTATTCCATCACTTTGAAAATGTTGGCCTAATGCCATTTTGGTTTCATCACCAACAACAACAAAATTACATTTATATAGCGCCTTTCACGTCGGGAGGACATCCATTACTCCACTGATGATCCTCTTGTCTAGGTTAAACTTCTGTGTGATTGATTTGTTATTATGTTGGACATCTTCACAGCTGTAACACTGCATCTCTGGATGAGTTACAATTTTATGGATTTCCATGAAACATACGTTCATGGTTAAATAGATTCCTATCAAAATTGGTACTTCTGTGTGATAGTTAGTATTTCATCCTCGCTCTTTTTCCATAAACGGAGAGCTCTGATCTCTCTTCCATTTTTTTCCTTCTCCATATTAATGGCTTTTATTTATCATCGAACTCTGTCTGCAATTTAAGTAATGATTCCACTCTACATGCATAGACATCCTTTAGATCACACACTCTCAGCATAAATAACCTTCATCCCTCTCTCAGTTCAGTGCCCAAATCACTAAACTTCAATTCAATTCACCCTTCCTTCAATAAAGGCAATACTAGATTTTGTTTCTTTGAATCCCTCAAAAAAAGGAGACACTTATTCATGTTTTCGCTATTCTAGCCAATAGGTGCCGCCTTTTGATCCTTACTTACCAATGTATCATTGCTTAATTCTAAATTCTCACATTTCATCAATTCCTCCAAAAATCAAGTTGTCTCCTCTCTGTTAAACATTTATTTTTCTTGCACCCACATTTAACTCTCCAAGCACAAAACTTAAATAGTACTACTGTAGGAGAAAGCTCTTATCTCTCTTGCACTCTTAGATGAGGCATCTTATCTGAAAAGTGATCACACACTCCCAACTGGCATCTGTTCTCTCTCTGTCACAACCTATCCTATAATTTTCTACTTTATCAATACTGCCGTGGTATTGCTCCACTGACCTTTTGGTCTGTATCTCTGAAATTCAAAATGCATCAATGTTCATTCTTTTTCTCTTCCTTGTATCATCACTTTGTTATCAATTAAAATTTATTGCAGTGTCTCCTTATCTAACGCACACTTTCTCAGAATCTCAGGACAAGGAATTTGTAGACTTTTGCTCCTCTATTGATTTACTTCAACTTTGTCAATTTGTCTCATTCGGTAACCTTCAAGTCAAAAGGTTGTAGGTTCAAACCGCATGTTAAATCTTGATCTCAAGCACTGACTTGTAGGCTGGTAATTGAAGAGAGTAATATGTTCATAGATGGCTCCAGCATTTTATATCATATATCTTCTGTACTTAGCAATTTTAAGAATAATCGGGTGGAGTTGTGCATTTGATTTGTTAATTAACATCTCTCATGCTAATTCACATATTGTGGAAAATAATAATATAATAATCCTTGCATTTGATATAGCGCCTTATCACATTTTCGAAACATCCCAAAGCGCTTCACAGAATATACTGTAAGGTGAATTGACCGCATATTTTGTGGGCGATTCTTGGCAGCCAATTGCACACAGCAGTGTCCCACAAACAGTCGTGGATTAAGTGATCAAATTATTATTATTTATTTATTTTAATGACTAGTTGATACTTCAAATAGTGACTGTCTTATCAGTGTGCTAGAGGTGAACGCTCTCCAAGGATATTACACCCCGAAGATGGCATTGAACTTTGATGAGTGGGACGTCAGAGTAACTTAAAATAAGCAAATATCCTGGCAGGTATCAATATCACGATCCACAGACTAGAAATCCAATACGCTATCAATTGCTTTCTGTGGGCAAACATTGCAAACGGTGTCGGGGTGGGATGGGGGGTAGGGCAAGAACATTGGCATATTCACTTCAAGAAAACCCACAGACCAGTCAATATTTAACACACTCCTGGTTGTGTTTTAACAATGTTTTAATTGCCATCATAAGTATTAATTAAATACCATCTTTTTCACCTCAGTTTCCTTTGGTAAAATATACAGTTCACTTATTATTCAATTGGTTATGCGAGCTGATTGCATTCATTTAACCATAAATTGCAGCACAATTTTCTCAGAAGTTTGCAAGTACCTGCATTAGAGCATTCAGTAATGAGGAAATATGAAAATTCATTTGAATCTCACATAATGAGTAAAAATTAATTCACGTAGTGTTACTCTATTTTAGCATATTAAGTATCAAACTGATGACACTGAACACCAATGCACATTACTGCATATTAAAGATTGTTTCCCTGATTTGCTCAGATTAAAAAGAAAATGATTTTGAAACTCTCCATCCACCTCTGGATATTTTATCAATTTCTCACATCCTTCAAGCTCAATACCGAATTTGATTTATCCAGATTTAAACATTTGTAAAGTAAATTGTATAAGAAACAATCATGGATCGGATATCATACCATATGGATGTAATTAAAAAACATTAAGTATTTATAAAGTTCAATTGTGTAAGTGCTGACATGTGTAAATGGAGAAAAAGATGTGCAGACTATGCCACTTCTCCTTAGCAGAACAGCTTTCAAATATTTTATGGGATAATTCATAATCTGAACATTCTGCTGTTCTTACACTTCCTAAAAGATTTAGAATAAATTAATAAAATAATGGTTATTACAATCAACTGAAAAGCAGCCAATCATTGTCCTACATATAGCAAATCAGTATACCTTGTTGAAGTGAAATGGAAGATCCCATATCTGGAGAGTATAAATAAGTGGTGACACCCATTTTGTTATGTAGTCACAATGGCTGGCTTCATAAAGCCCTCGGACAGTCTGAAGGACGAAATTACCTGTTCTATCTGCCTACAGCTATTTATATATCCTGTTACTCTGAATTGTCTTCATAGCTTTTGCCTGAGATGCGTCCAAGATCACTTAAAGCACAAGTTGTCATCTGACAATTACACATGTCCAGAATGTCATACAGAGTTTGTTGATAAACCAAGATTGTTTAAAAATGCTGAGCTCGCCACAAAGGTGGAGCAAATGTCAAAGTGCCAGGAGAGGAGGCCTGTTTGTGACTATTGTTTTGAGGAGGATGTACCTGCCGTGATGGGTTGCATCCAGTGCGAGACCTTCTTTTGTGTAACTCATCTTCGGCCGCACAGTGAGAAAGCAACACTGAAGGATCATGCTTTGATGGACCCATCAGAGACAACGTCCTTACGAAAATGCGTGGACCACAAGGAAACCCTCAAACTTTACTGCAAAGAGGACCGTGCGTGTATTTGTACCCTCTGCAGTATTATTGGGCAGCACAAGAAACATACAATTTTGACTTTCGAAGAAGCGAAAAGTGAAGTTCAGGTGAGTGTTAGAATTTGTTTTCTTAATTTTTGTAAAGCACACAGGTACTAGTCTTTAAAAGCACTGTGGTTGTTTGATTTGAATGGGTTATGTGGACTGAGTACATTCACTTAACCATAAATTGCAGCACAATTTTCCCTGAATTTTCCCAGTACCTGAATTAGAGCATTCAGCAATGAGGAAATATGAAAAATAATTTGAATCTCACATAATATATTACTTCTTTAAAAATAATAATATTATGGGTTTCGCCCACAAATATATGGTCAATTCACTTTACAGTCTATTCTGTGAAGCGCTTTGAGACGTCGAGAAGATGTGAAAAGCGCTATATCAAATGCAAGGATTATTATTTATTAGTTAATGAGTAAAAATCTGATCGAACCTTAATTCTACCAGTAATGCTTGGTATACTTGATCAATTTTCATCTGGGCATAATATGGACAATGCATCTCCTTCCAATTGAACAGGAAGATAGGAACTGGTGTTGCAACTGGAGGCAAATTTTCAATATCATTTGACTTTCTTGAAATGAAAGAAGCAAGTAGGATAAAAAAGCTATGAAATATAAATCTAAGGCCGGATAAAATAGGAACACCAAAATGTATAAGTCTGCTTCAGAATTGTGTTTATCCAATCTTTTGGATAGACACAGTTCTGACAATTTTCTTGCATTAAAATAAATATGAAATTTGCCAGGTTTGGATCTGAAAATGTCAATTGGTTTGTTTCTCCCCAACTTGGTCACAAAATGGAAACTTACATTTGAGCCAAGTTTCCACTTTGACATTAAACTGGAGAAAGGGATTTTTTAAATAAATGGTTTGAATCTAACCCAGATTCAGGAGACCACTCAATCATAATAACAAAGATACAACTTGAAAACACTTTCATTCTATTTTTAAATATTCACTGCTTTCAATTCTAAGGAGTGCGGTACGTACCTGGAGTGGTGGGAGGTGATTTTCTGCTAGTTAATACATTTACTGACCTTGGCAGAATGAATTTATCACAGGATTATCCAATCATTATAAGTACTAGTCTGGCTCAATTGGTAGCACTCCCTCTGTGAGTCAGAAAGTTGTGGGTTTAAGCCCCACGAGAGAATTTGAGCTCATGGTCCAACTGGCGGCCCACGGGCCAATTTCATCGGCCCCCTCCCTCCAATTTATCTGGCCCATCCGTTCCCTTCATAACCGTAAATGTTATACTTCTGGAAGGATAACACAAAAATATTGCTTAACCCTGCAAACATTTCTCAAATAGGGCATCCGGCCCTTAGCAGCCAAACGGCTGGACCACTGTGTTAAGGCTTACACTTAACCCTGACCCCTGACTGTCCAGCGCCTTGGGACGTCTTCCTGACGTGAAAGGCGCTCTATACAGGCGCTTTGTCATTTTGTTGTTGTTGTTGTACACTGCAAAGCAATGCTGGGGGAGCCCTGCATTATCGCAGGTGCTGTCCTCAGGATGAAATGTTAAACTGAGGTCCTGTATGGTAATAAGGTTGTTATATCAATTGCAAGAACTATAACTATTATAAAAATCAGTCTGTATGAGATTAAATTTCCTTTCCTATAATTTTCAGTGAAGAGAATGGAACATGAAGATATTGGATAATCTGGTGTTAATTTTCTGCAAAAGAAAGAACTTTCATGTTGAAATGTCTCAGAGCGATTCAAAACACAGTTACTATTTTAGGCAAACACAATAGTTATTTGTACCAGCAAGATCCCTAAAAAAGCCAAACCCAATTTATCTGGAGGAATGTTGGCCCAAGACACAAAGAGAAACTCCCATCTATATTCTAGTAGGGTCATGGGATCTTTAACAGTCACTTGAACAGCTAGATTGTACCTCAAGTTTCTGTCTCATTAGAACGATGGCCCATACAACACACTACTCCAGTGCAACATGGTCAGCCTAGATTTATGATCAACAACATGGAATTAAACCCATAACCTTCTGACCCAGAGTGCAACAAACTGAACCAAATTGACCCACTGTGAAATATAATGGTGCTATGATTTTTTTAATAACCCTTTAGTGAACCTTACAAAGGGAATTGTAGATCCTCCCTGAAGCAAATCATTTTATTCTATTAAAGGGAAGCAGTCGACAGCAGGAAACAGAACCAGAGATTTTCAGCACAGATTGAAGCTATTTATCTCACTGTACCTGTGCCACTCGTCCCTATTTTTCTACGGTGCATTTTTTAAAAGTTAATCTCACTATCTAATTGTTTCCCCATATTCCTTAATGGTTTGAAGAGATCATCCTTTGGATGAAATGTCAAACAAGGTTTCATCTGTCTTTTCAAAAGAGAAGGGAGTTTCTCCCAGTGTCCTGGCCAGCAAATCCCCCAAATAAAACTTGCACAGATATAATAAATAGTTAAAATTCCTTTTATATTCTCTTCTTCTCTCCTACATTATCTGGAACCCAGAAAATAAAATTTAAAAAAACAGCGTAAGGAATCCTTCAAATCCTTCCCTCCCTCCCCCNTTTCAAAGCCCATCTCAAAACAAACCTCTTTGGCCACACTTTCAATCGTCTTTCCCATCCACATCCCCCTCAGCTCTGACCCTCAGTTCGGATGACTCTCCAGCACACTGTGAATACATTTTGGGACATTTTACAGATATTGGGGGGCACTACTGCACAGAATAATAGTAATAATACTTGCATTTGATATAGCATCTTATCACGTCTTCGAGACGACTCAAATCGCTTCACAGAATGCACTGTACAGTGAATTGACAGTATATTCTGTGGGTGAAACATGGCCCACGTTGCATTGTACAATCATTCACTGTAGTACAACAGTTAATCCAATTTGAAAATAAAATAGAAATGTTATCACACACCATACAAAACCCTACAAAAACATTCATGTCAAACCTGTTGGTAGCCAAGAAACCTAGTTAATAATTTCATATATTTCAAACATATAATGATTTCAAATAACAGCAGATACCCATTAAACTCTAGGCTTCTCGATTTATGTGCTCCATTTCCTTTAGATCTCAACCAAATGACACAAGATTGCTTGTTTTAAAATACAAAAAATAGATCAATAATGGCCATGTTATTCAATACATTTTCTTTTTTAATTTATCATTTCATATTTACAGATCTATTAATCAAGTATCTATTCCAACTAAATGAGTTCTGATTGACACAAAATTCCCTGCAGCTCTAGTCAGTAAGCGTATATCAAGTAACCTTCCCTGTTCTATATTTCATTGCAGATCAGCCTCTGAATAATTCCTAGCATCAGACCTACCCATAGAATCCCCTAAAGACTCACAGACAGGGCTTCCTTGCAATCCAATTATTTGCTTCAATTAGGCGAATTGCATCAGTGACTGTTAAATAGAGCAATGGATTTAATTAAGATGTTTTGAGTTTAGGAAGAAGTGAAAAAAGACAATTAACAGCTAATCCATCTTGAATTGTGGCTCCTCTTGGCTCCGCGGTCACTTCCCCTCCAACATCCACCCACCACCCACCCCTTCCCTCCCACACTCTGACTCCTACCCATCCTCCCCTATACACCTTCGTACCCGTTTCCCCCCTCTCTGTCACCAAACTCATCCTCTCCCTGAAACCTACCACCTGCTCCCTTGACCCCATCCCCACTCCACTCCTTATCTCCCAGCTCCACCTCCTTGCCCCACATATCACAGACATCGTCAACCTGTCCCTCTCCTCTGGCTCTATTTCCATTCCCTTAAAAACTGCCACCATCACTCCCACCTTAAAAAAACCCTCCCTTGATGCATCGCAGCTATCAAGCTACCGGCCCATCTCCAACCTCCCCTTCCTATCCAAGGTCCTGGAACGAGTTGTCGCCTCCCAGCTGCGCTCTTTCCTCTCCAACCATTCACTATTCGAACCCCTTCAATCGGGTTTCCGTGCTGCCCATAGCACAGAAACTGCCCTGGTCAAGGTCACCAATGACATCCTGACCATCTGTGACCAGGGCTCCTTCTGCCTCCTCGTCCTCCTCGACCTATCGGCAGCATTCGATACGGTCGACCACGCTATCCTCCTCCACCGCTTGTCCTCCCACCTAAACCTTCAAGGCCCTGTCCTTGAGTGGTTTAGGTCGTACCTCTCCCACCGTCTTCACTTTGTCTCCACAAATGGTTTTTCCTCCGGCCCCCGCACTGTCTCGTGTGGTGTCCCTCAAGGCTCTGTCCTCGGTCCCCTCCTCTTCACCCTCTACATGCTCCCCCTTGGTGACATCATCCGCAGACATGGGGTTAACTTCCACATGTATGCGGATGACACCCAACTCTACCTTTCCTCCTCTACCCTCAACTCCACGACCACCGATGTCCTGACAGCCTGCCTGTCCGACATCGAGTCCTGGACGAGAGACAACTTTCTTCAGCTCAACGTGCGTAAAACTGAGGCCCTCCTGATTGGCTCGCGTCAGCGCCTCCGCACCTCAGGCGCTGACAGCATCAGCATCCAAGGCTGCACTCTCCACCTCTCAAAGCCGGTCAGGAACCTCGGGGTTCTGTTCGACCCTGAGCTGTCCTTTCTCCCCCATATCCGCGCCACAACTGGCACCGCCTTCCATCACCTCCGGAATGTCGCCAGACTACGGCACTACCTCACCCCTCACGCTGCTGAAACTCTGGTCCACGCCTTTATCACCTCAAGGCTGGACTATGGGAACTCTCTCCTCGCCGGCCTTCCCGGCACCTCCCTCCACAAGCTGCAGGTCATTCAGAACTCTGCAGCTCGTGTACTGTCCCGCACCAGGCTTCGGGAACACATCACTCCCACCCTCGCTCGCCTCCACTGGCTCCCCATCCCCCAGAGGATCGAATTCAAGATCCTCACCCTCACCTACAAGGCCATTCACGGCCTTGCTCCCTCCTACCTCTCCGACCTACTATCCCCCTACCTACCTCCTGCCCGTACCCTCCGTTCCTCTGGCTCCGGTCTGCTCCACATCCCCCGCCCCAACCGCCCTACCATCGGGCCTTCAGCCTCTCAGCCCCGAGGCTCTGGAACTCTATCCCCCAGTGCCTTCTCCGCCTCCTCCCTTTCCTCCTTCAAGGCCGGTCTCAAGACCTTTCTCTTTGACCGTGCCTTCAGCTCCCCTCTCGACTCTCTACCCCCTCCTCGCTCCCTCCCTTCCCTCCCCTCACCCTGACCATTTCCCCCTTGCTCGGGTCCTGACCCAACTGTACAGCGCCTTGGCACGTCCTCCCGACGTGAAAGGCGCTCAATAAATGGAATCTTGTTGTTGTTGTTGTTGTAAGGAGAGAGTATTGCTTTGGCAGCTATGAAGCATTGGACAAGCAACTTCTGAAAGTAAAAAAATAAAAACTCAAATAAAGATTCACTTATAAAACGAAGTTGTTACACTTTACCATATATCCTGTGAAGTGCTTTGAGACTTCCTTCCAATGCAAACAGCACTGTATAATTATAAGGATTATTAAAATGCAGTCACTACACTTTATAGTGTATCTTATGAAGTGCTTTGAGATGTCATCCCGGCATGAGAGGCACTATGTCAAATGCAAGATATATAATAATAATAATCCTTTCATTTGATAAGGTGCTTTTCACATCTTCTAGATGTCTCCAAGCACTTAGAACATAAGAACATAAGAATTAGGAGCAGAAGTAGGCCATTCGGCCCCTCGAGCCATTCAATAAGATCATGGCTAACATATTCTAACTCCACCTACCCACTTTATCCCCATATCCGTTAATCCCTTTATCCACAAGAAATCTATCAATCTCAGTCTTGAACATGTTCAAGGACTGAGCATCTACAGCCTTTTGGGGTAGAGAATTCCATAAATTCACTACCCTTTGAGTGAAGAAGTTTTTCCTCAACTCAGTGCGAAAGGATTTACCACTAATTTTAAGACTGTAACCCCTGGTTATAGTTTCTCCAACCAGGGAAAAAAGTCTTCCACTATCTATTCTGTCGTGCCCCTTAATAATCTTATAGGTTTCTATAAGATCACCTCTCATTCTTCTAGATTCTAGAGAATATAGGCCTAAATTGCTCAACCTATCCTCATAACTCATCCCCCTCATCCCAGGTACCAACCAAGTGAATCTAAGTTGTAACCCCTCCAAGGCAGTACATCCTTTCTTAAATAAGGAGACCAAAACTGCACACAGTACTCTAGGTGTGGTCTCACCCGTGCCCTATAGAGTTGCAGCAAGACTTCCCTACTCTTATATTCTAACCCTTTTGTAACAAATGTCAACATACCGTTAGCCTTCCTAATTGCTTGCTGTACCTGCAAACTAACTTTTTGTGATTGCTGTACAAGGACACCCAAGTCCCTCTGAACGCTAACACTACCTAGACTCTCCCCTTCTAAAAAATAATCTGCTCTACTGTTTTTGCTACCTAGGTGGATGACTTCACAGTTCCCTACATTATACTTCATCTGCCACCTATTTGCCCACTCACCTAGCCTATCTATAGCTTGTTACATTTTTTTAATGTCATCCCCGGTGTTTACTCTCCCTCCTAGTTTAGTGTCATCTGTGAATTTGGATATATTAACTTCGATGTCCTCATCTAGATCGTTGATGTAGATTGTAAATAGTTGAGGCCCAAGCACTGATCCTTATGGCACTCTACCAGTCACATCCCGCCAATCTGAGAATGACCCGTTTATCCCTACTCTTTTGTTTTCTTCCCATTACCCATTCTTCAATCCACAGAATATACTGTAAAGTGAATTGACTCTATATTTTGTGGGTGAAACGCAGCAGCCAATTGCACACAGCAGTGTTTCACAAACAGTCGTGGATTGAATGACCAAATTATTATTGGTTTCTTTTCTTGAAGGATTATTATCAGGCATGTAAAGACTATTATTAGCATTATTTGTAGTAGTCTCTGATCAATTTCTGAGATTACAGAAGGGGTCAATGTCATTGATTTTATGTAGATACTACATCAACATAATTGCATTTGATCTGATTGCAAACTTTCAATAAAATACAAAAGATGGCTTTTCTCAAGGTGATGGAATGCTTCCACCAGCCTTGAAAATGTAATTTAACCCGTGTTGCCACTTTCATGTTACATTACTTTAATTTGCCTAATTTCCCGAAGGTGGAAAACTGGATTTTCAGTTGCAATTTTTAAAATTTATGTTATAGGTTATTTCAGAAATTATTTCAGAAACTATTTTCTTGCACGGGGTCAGAAATCACTGACTATCAGTCACATCACCACCGCCTGTCCTGACAAGTGTACTTCCACTTGAATCTGATCAGAACAGCTCTTGGAACAATACAGAAATTTGAGCTTCTTTCTGGTTACTTTGCAACATGCGTTAGCTGGGATAGCTGCAACTGCTCTTAAAATAATAATAAAAATAATAATAATAATTCTTGAATTTGATATTGAACCTTTCATGTCAGAGGATACCTCAAAGCACTTACACACATTTTTTATTGTGAAGTGTAGTGACTGTGTGTTTTATAGGCCAAGGCGGCAGCCAATCTGCGCACAGCAATGTTGTTCCCTTTGAGAAACAATAGCTAGCAATAGATTTGGGAAAAATGAGAAATGATGCAGAAAAGCTGCATATCCAAGTGGAAGGATTGATAGGGTAAGGATTAATTACCTTCTTCTGTGTGAACCTCAAGAATTAAAATAGCCTGGCTCAGCAAACCGATTACAGGCATTGACCAGAGCATTGTATAACTTGAGAGTTCAGATGAAGAAAAATTGCTTGGTATGAAATGTTGTGGAACAGCCATTGATTTCTAATAATCCTTGGTAAATATGACTCACAGATTCGAGAAGAATAGTTACTTATTATTTCATACATATAAAGATGAAGAGAATGCTGAAGCATCCTTTTTGAAAGAAAAATACTTTCACACATTTCATTTATATGCATGTATGCACCTGCAATTTTGAGACTTCCAAAATGACTGAGGTAAACACAAGAAACAAAGGGGGTAGCAATTACAATATTCTGGTGTGTTAACAACAACAAATAGCATTTATATAATGCCTTTTGCATTGGGAGGACAGCCCCCAAGATGTTGGAAAGTTGAGGATTTGCACCTGAGCTGGGGTTTGGATTCGGGAGGGGTGGGGGTTAAGGGGGCGGGGATGGTGAGGGAAAGATGACCGAAGGCACGGTCAAAGATGAAGGTTATTAACACCAATGGTGCTAACTAACATGGCATTAAAAATAGCAACCTGATGATAATTAACATATTGACTGGGGTACCGACAACTTCCAAGTCAATGGTCATTCCTGACAGTCTGACCACACAAACTGAACATTACCAAAGAAAGGTAATTCACTGACACCAGTGCAATTGTGCTGCCTGTGATTTACCAGCCTTTATTTCACTATGGTTTCAAGTAAATGTAGCTCACGGGAATCATTTTCATTTCCTGAAAGCAGTCTGCGCAGTTTGCTTAATCTGTGTGAAAGCTGAGAAATGACTGTTCTCTCTTTGAGGTCTGCAAAAACCTCTCTCACAAACTGACCTCACCGATGTGTGTTAGTTAAATTATTCTGTGTTGTAGACATCACTGCAATCACCTGACTTTCTCTATAAATTGTCTGACCAGAATATTAATGCAGAAGCCCTGAATGTTTCGTTATAGGAGCTGAGGTCTGATTTCTATCTTATTGTGATATGTTATCAAGTTTATCGGCACTGATATTTGGAACACTCTCCCTCAATCCCGTCACCTTGCGCTCTCCTTCCTCTCTTTTATTATCACGGCTAAAGACCTTCTTCTTCAACCATCCTTACAGTTGCTTCTTTTTTCCTCCCGGCTCAGGGTCGGGCTCCACCATTGTTAAACGCTCTGAGTCGCTGCCCCGGTGAAGGACACTATATAAATACAAGTCATTGTTGTTGTTGATATTGATTGTAAGTCATTATTCTGTGGTGATGGGATTTTTAGAGTCATGGTGCTTGATGTGTCAGAGATTCCTTGTGGTGGGAGGTCCCTCCAAAATAGCCTGAAACCTGATTTAAAAAAGTCCTAATATGGGACATGAGCCCAAATACGGTATTGCAGACTCATTACCACTCTTTTCTCCTGTTAATTTATTCTCTCCTCTCCTTCCAATTTGTTAAGTCTTGCACATTTCTTGGCTGACAAGAGTTTTCTGGAGAGCCTTCTGCCAAGGCAGCAATGCCAATTTACCGATACCAGTCACTAGGTAACATTTAAGATCAGCTTCAGTGACCTTCCCTCCAATTTTCCCTTTTGACGCATGGACAAGAGACACACTAAAGTGTCTTAATACAAATTGATCATTTACCTCCCTTTCCTTCGCTACAGAGCTGTTTTTAAAAACATGATCAAGTCTTAAGAATAAATGCAAACAAATGCTTTACATTTCCCTGCACTCAGTAAAGCTGACTAACACCAGAATTCTCCCTGGGGATGATGATAACTTACCTAACTCATTCAAGATACTTCAGGACATGGTTGCCATGGCAGCTAAAAAGAGCATTTACAAGATTTGTTATTGATGGCTGACTGCTCTTTCCAAAATCTCTTTTATGCTTATGTACTTGATAAAGGCTTGATGGATAAGTAATTTGCTCTATTATGAGACCAAGATAATACTTTTCGGGATGTATATCAATAGCAGGTTGCTGATGAACACTGTAATTAATTGCCTTTGCTTCCTTATCAGCTCACATTCACGGAGAAACTGAAAGAGCTTAACATGAGGAGGACAAAAACAGAAGAGGCTGTCAAATGCCTGAGGGAAATGAATTCACATGCATTAGTAAGTGTAACCTTTTAAGCTGATTTTTTTTCGAACCAGAAAATGTTCCTTTTTGGTTTCAGGAATATATTTCAAAATGAAACGTCAGAGAAGGCGTGAATAAATACTAAATACGTAGTAATAATAATAAACCTTGCATTGGAACGTAATTGTAATTGCTATCACACATATCTGATACTGCATAATAATATTATTTGCATTTGATATAGCACTTTTCATTTCCGGAGGGCGTCTCAAAGCATTTCACAGGATTTACTTGAAAGTGGAGTTACTCTGTATTTTTGTATGTGAACTAATATGGAGGAGGGGAAGCAGAGCTGGCAGTAACACATCAGGGGGTTCACTTGACGACAAGTGAATGTTAATAATTGCGACTAAGGTGAAAATTGCAATGTGTGATGTATTATTTGTGATATGTTAATTAACACCTAAGATAACACCTTAATTAACACCTAAGAACATCATTCAAAAAAATTGATCAATCGCTGTGTAAATTATTGAATGATCTACAGATGAACTATTGCCAAATCCCATCCCTGTCCCCCCCAACCAGTCACCTCCCCTTTCTTTCCAGCTCAAGAGTGTTATATAAATGCAGGCTGTTGTTGTTGTAATAAATTCAAAAACATATTGAGGTCTAATTTTGAAATGCTTACAATCCATACTCAACTTCTTAATTGTGACATCCAGTTGCCAAAATCGAAAATCGCTGTTCAGCTGTGCCTATCTATGTTAAGGGCTCCGAGATGCTACCCATGTGAAGGATGTTATATAACAACAACTTGCATTTATATAACGCCCTTCATATAAATGTAAGTTGTTGTTGTATAAAGTACAAGGATTATTATTGAAATATTATATAATACTCTTTTTTTCAAAGAGTTTCGCGTTTAAAATAATAAAGTTCACACTGTTTATTAGATATTGGTTATAAGATTGCAAATTCGGTATGCTGGATTACAGTTTAAAAAGTTCACATCGATATTTACATCAATGGACCAATAAACTGACACAGATGTACGCACATATATTTGAATGCTGTTTTCCATTGATCTCTCACTGGATTTCACCAGATTGGAGTCCTGTCGGCCTACAAAAAGTCATGAGTTGGAACATTGACTGGTCTTGGGACGTCTAAGGCTTAGCAGGGGTGAGAGTTGATTGGGGGGGTGTAAAATGAGGCCTGTTTATGTAGCAAGGGGAATGGTTATAGGGTGAAAGAGCACACAAAATATACAGTCAATTCACTTTACGGTATATTCTGTGAAATGCTTTGTGACGTCTCAATGAAGTAATGAGGCGCTATATCAAATGCAAGATTATTATTATTATTATTATTATTATTATGAGTGAGGATGGGGAAAAGAATTGAATGGAGTGTGCCATTCGGAGCAGCCTGCATGTCACTTGCTCGCTCTGACAGATGCACCACTTTGTTTTAATTTTAATGATTGTTCATTCACAATTATACTTAAAAGGAGTGTGCATCAGTATTCACATTTGAATACTAATGCAGAATCCTTCATGTATAATTGTATCAGACTGACTTATCATAATCGGTATATAGACGAGCATAGTGAGTGTGGCTGTGCTTTGAGTGTAAAGTCTTTGACAGCCCTGCATATTGAAAGCTTCTTTGCAGAAGTTTGAACATAAGTTCAGTCAGTTTTAAAAATAGATAATAATCCTTGCATTTGATATAGTGCCTTATCACATCTTCGAGACATCCCAAGGCTCATCACAAAATATATTGTAAAGTGAAATGACTGTACCATTTGTAGGCGAAACATGGCAGCGCACAGCAGTGTCCCACGTGGATTGAAGTGACCAATTTGCCATTTTTTTTTAAGGAATTATTACCCCAGGAAAAGCGATCCACCAATCGACTAACAACTGGTTCCTACTTACTAGGTAAACAGAGGTGTGTGGAGTAAGGAAACCTGCCCAAAGTTTCGCCCTGCTTGGAATCGAACCCAGGTCCCTCACTTGCGAGGCGAGTGCTCTAACCACTGAGCTACAGGACTCAAATATTAGTATATCTGTGATTTGGAGGAGACAAGATCATCATTAAATACATTTTGTGAGCATAAATTGTTGTGATTCAATATTTAAAAATAAATCCAGCCATCGCATAACCGAAGACAAAACTTAGCTCCCCCCAAACTTCACACATTTCGGTAACTTCCAGAATAGAAAAAACTCAAAGCTACAAAAACTTGACAGAATGCACTTACAGGAAAATAACAAATATCTTCACTGTTTCAAAACCTTTCTCTCAACTCTTAAATATCCCCTATTGACTGAGAGACTGAAATCCATGTCAGAATGATATTATACACACCTCGCTGAACAATTTGCTGCAGACTTTTAAATGTGAAGTGTGACAATGTGGCTCAATTGGAAGCACTTTTACCTCTTGAGTAGAAGAGTGTCAGTTCAACCCCCACACAATACTTTTGAACTCATACAGTCTAACCTGACACGCTAATGCAGTGCTGAGGGTATGCTGCATTGTCGGACATGCTGACCTTCGGATGAGACATTAAATTGAGGTTCCATCTGTCTGTTCAGGTGGATGTTAAAGATCCAATGGCACTTGGAAAAGAGAAGGGAGTTTCTCCCAGTGTCTTGACCAGAAACAATTGGTCATTCACTTCACAACTGTACGCAATTGGCTGCCACGTTCATCCACAAAACACCCTGTCTGCTTTACAGTATATGTTGTGAAGGCTTTGAAACATCCTCCTGACATGAAATGCACTGTATCAAATATAAGAATTATTACTATTATTAGAATTATTACTATTATTATTATTATAGAAAGCTAGCTTCGCTTGAATTCCTTGTCAAGATTTCCAATTATGGGCTGGTTCTTTTCCAAGAAATCATATTTTGTTTTTAATAGCAGCCCTTGAATTGAAAAAAAAGTACTAAGGTAATTCCAAAAAAATAAAACTCAAATGTGTTTGCCTTGGATCATTAATTCATACAGGCAGCATATGCTGGCTATCTAGAAAAGGCTGTTCAACATTATAAGGAGATGAAATCCCTTATTGAAGATGACGAGCAGCAGACCCTACTATTTATTGAAGCTGAACGCCAGGCTGCTACAATGTACATTGAAGTACAAACCAAGGAGTGGGTGGAAGAGCTAGATGACCTAACAAGGACTATTCAGCAGATCAATACCATTTTGAACCAGAGTGATTCATTCAGGTTTTTAAAGGTAACTTGTGCCATTTAATTCCTCTGCAAACCTACTATTATTCACTGTCATTCTCACATGTACCTCTAATGCTCTTGAATGGTTTAACAGACAAGTGAAATTATTTGTTAGACTTGCAACTCTTTTTACTAGTGTTTTTTATTGTCTTGTTTTTGTACAGGGAGCAAACTGTAATGAATATCGGTAAGTATGACTGTGAAAGCATTTGTGCTCGATATGTCAAAGAGTTATACATTATACATTTATATATCTTCTCACCCCTCCACCCACCCCCCTACCCCCACCCACCCCCTCACTCTACGTACACACACAATTTCCAGGTTGGGGTGAGGTTGGAAGAAAGTTAAGTGTGGCATGTCCAATTTATGTAATCTGAATTATCTGCAGGCACTTGCGAGAGTGACATTGTTCAGTCATAGTATGGAAGTCTGTAACCCAGAGGCAATCTTTCCCATGGAGCTAGACAAGGCTGTTTATTGCTGAATAGACTGCAAAAAAAGTAAGAGGCAGACTTGGTGGTGAAGTCACACTGCAACTTACAGGAGCTCATTGGTTCATATCCAAATCCGTCAGCTGGAATGCTTGGTCCTGACATTATCCAGATTAGAGAGGATAATATCAGCCAAGTTTCTTGCTCCTGGTCCCTTCACTGGTTGTGTGCATGCGTGGCAGCTGGTGTTAGACAAGCTAGGCTTGGCTTGGCTCTGATGCCCTCCACATTCAAGTGGTCTGCCAAGGCTCATCCATTAACAATGCTCACTTGGGAAGTATAACTGAGGACTCCTGAAAACACACCTAAAAAGACTGGGACCAGGAGCAGAGGCATATATATCAGTTGGTATTAGCTCAGTTGGTAGCACTCTTGCCTCTGAGTCAGAGGGCTGTGGGTTCAGGATTTTGAACTCACAATTGTCTATGTGCTCAATTGGGCCTGAGTTGACACTCCAATGCAGTTTTGGAGGTGGGCTGCATTGTTGGAGATGCTATCCTTCCGATGAGACATTAAACCGAGGTCACTTCTGTCAGTGAAGGCTGAAATTAAAGCTCCCATGGCATTACTCCAAAAGAGAAAGGAGTTTCTCCTGGTCTCCTGGTCCCCCAGATAAATTTGAGCATTCACTTTATAGCCGTGGGACATTGCTGTGCACAAATTGGCTGATGCATTTGCCTACAAAATGCACAATCGCTACACTTTATAGTAAATCCTGTGAAGCATTTCAACACATCCTACTGACATGAAACGTGCTGTATTGAATGTAAGGATTATTATTATTAAACGGCAGAGGTGAAAAAGTCAGGAAATAATTGGAAACACTAAATTTCAAATTCTCAATTACCATTAAATGGAAACATAAAGAAAAGAAATGAATGAATTGTGAAGGCAGACACTTGGTTCACTGCAGAACCTCTGTCTTCTTGCTGCCTACAGTTTTGTGCTACTGCAACTGGGAGTAATAACTTACAAGGAAATGAGAGTGTCCCAAAAGAAATCTGCTATTCTACAGCAGATAACTCCAGTTTCAGTAACATAAAAAGAAAAGTTAAGGGCCACAGATTGCAGTCTGCAGAGATGCCAACCACCAAAAATTTTGTGTGTTTTCTAACCCTGGGTCTTTTTAATGGGAAAAAGGTTGCTACTTGCACAGGGAATACGTGACCTCAGTCATATTATGAGAAAGAGCCGCAGGATTGAAATGAGCTGCCTGGTGCAGAGAGAGATGAAAAATTGGAACGAAGGCCATAACACCTTGCAGTCACTAGCAATGGTCTTGGGAGAGCTCAGATATAGGATGCTTGCTAGCATCCCTCCCAGGAAGACAATTAATATATTTTTTTTAATCCAAAAAGTAGATGTTTTTTATATATTGTTCTTCTCTACTTCCTTGGGCAATATATATATAATCTGTAATTTCCAATTCTGCTGAGTTTGCTGATGGATGGTGAACAGGATCGCAGAAAATTGCCAAGGGACACAGCAGTTGCATCTCAAAACACAACACAAGTAATTGCAGTCAAGTGTAGTGACTGGGTCACTGTAGGCCGACTCAGCAGCCAATTTGTACCCAGCAATGTCCCATAAGCAGTCATGCCATTAGTGACCAATTTATCTGGAGGATTCCTGGCCTCAGGATCGGGAGAAGGTGCCTTCTCTTTTCAAATAGTGCAGTGGGCGGATCATACTTTTAATGTTTCATTTAAAGAACGCACCTCCGACAATGCAGCGTTCTCCAGGACCCCACTGGAGTGTTAACTGAGACTGTAAACGCCCAATGTGGAGTTTGAACCCACAACCTGCTGAAGTTATACAGAAGGCTTGTCAAACAACAGCAGCAGCAACAACAACAAATTGTATTTGTACAGTACCTTTCGCGTTGGAGGATGTCCCAAAGTGCACCCAAGCTTAGGAAGGAAATACAATCTTGGAAGGTGTCCAGGGGGAAATCACTCGATTAATGCCCGGATAAAGGAGCTGAGCTACAATGAGAAGCTAGAAAGAGCTAAGTTACTTTCCTTTTAGAGCCGAGAAGGTTAATCAAAAGATCACCACAGAGGTTTGGATCAAGAAGGTCTTTCGGGCCCATTTTATCTCATCCTTCCAGCATACCCACGCTATCATCCTACCATCACAGTTTCCAGCTGCTTTGTAAATAAGCCCAGTATCCTGGCCTCAATCATCATTCCCAGTAACTTATTTCAACCACTAATCATAATAAATAATCCTTAATCCTTGCATTTTGATTTAATGCCTTATCACGTCTTCAAAATGTCTCAAAGCGCTTCACAGAATATATTGTAAAGTGAATTGACTGTATATTTTGTGGGCGAAATGCAGCAGCCAATTGCGCAAAGAGTGTCCTACAAACAGTTGTGGATTGAGTGACCAATTTATTATTATTTTTTTGAAGACATTATTACCCCCAGAAAAGCAATCCACCAATCGACTAACAACCAGATTCCTACTTACAGCTAGGTAAACAGAGGCGTGTGGAGTAAAGAAACTTGCCCAATGTTTCGCCCTGCCGGAATCGAACCCAGGTCTCTCGCTTGCGAGGCAAGTGCTCTAACCACTAAGCTACGGGACTCCACTGGGAGTCCTCTGGGTAAAAAAATACTACCACTGTCTGTCCTGAAATTGCCCTTTGGAACCCTAACCCTGTGTTTTCTTGTTTTGCTGTCTCGGTGATCTAAACAATAAGGGTAAGCTTTCTGCTGCTTGTCCAGGTAGGACCACCCCTTTCATTAGGTTCTTTGGTTTGTGTGACTAACAGAAGCCGAATTGGAATAGTCTCTGTCCCTGGTCTGATTCTGTCCTTCCATTTCTTGTCAATGAGCCAACAAACTACTGTTTTGGTGTTTATACATTTATAAAATCTCTTGTTTTTTTTTGCTACCTGCTAGTCTTTCCTCATATCCCTTCTTGGCCTTTCTAATCTCCTTCTTTGCTTCCAAATTTTCTTTTCTCTGCCTGATTTTCTTCTGCATTATTGTCTTTAGATGTATTTTATGCCTTTCTTTGAAATTTTATTTTCCTTTTGATTTCTCCACTCATCCATGGAACCCTACTTCTCTGCCATTCTTTCAGTCCAATTTATTTGTGCTAGCTCCTTTCTTATTTCATTGAAATTTGTTTTTTTTTCCCCCAGTGAGTACCTTTGTCCTTGACTGTTCTCTCTCCTTTTTCAATTTTACATAAAATCTAGAAACAGGATCAGAAAACATCTCTTCACACAAAAACTTGTGAAATGTACCACCCTAGAAAACCCCATTCACAGAATCAATTGGGATGTTTCAAAGAGAAATAAGTACTTGGGAAGTAAGGAAAAGAATTAAAGACCTGCCATTATTTGTCTGGTAGAACAGGCTCGATATACTGAACTGTACATTGTTTTGAAGAATAATTTGAGTTGAGAAAGGCACCATAAAATTGTGAGTTATTTCTAACAAAACAAAAGCTAGAATTAAAGCTCCATCAAATTAGGACAGTTTATTATTTTTCAGTACTGATAGCAATACACCATTTGTTGGTTGTCTATCTGCTATTAATCAACCATTCCGAGATGCTGCCCTGCATGAAGGACACTACATATACGCAAGTTGTTGTTATATTCTATATCATCCAGCAGTAATCAGTGTGCTGGCTGGTCCTCTCCACTCCATAGGTGGTAGAATAGTCTTGAATTAGGTCATGTATTGATAGCCAGAGATCTCATTTGGCCTTTAACAAGACAGGAGTGAAACAGAGATTTTCACACGGAAAAACAACACATTAAATGTGTGCTATTCAGTGAAGATCACAACTGCAGCTCGCCGAGAACTTATCCTGTGTGAGGGTGAATGCAAATAAATGCAATAATTTGTTGTTGAAAATATAACATAAAACATAAGAAATAGGGCATTCGGCCCCTCAAGCCTGCCCCGCCATTTAATAAAATCATGGCTGATTTTCTAACCTAATTCCATTTACCCGCCCTTTCCCCATATCCCTTAATCCCTTTAGTTTTTAAAAATCTATCGATCTCAGTCTTGAATATGTTCAATGCACTGAGCATCCACAGCCTTCTGGGGTAGAGGATTCCATAAATTCACTACCTTCTGAATGAAGAAATGTTTTTTTCAACTCAGTTTTAAAGGGCTGACCTTTAATCCTGAGACTTTGACCCCTAGTTTTAGATTCTCCAACCAGGGGAAACAGTCTCACACTATCTACCCTGTCAAGACCCTTAAGAATCTTATAGGTTTCTCTAAAATCACCTCTAATTCTTCTATATTCTAGGGAATATAGGCCTAGTCTACTCAACCTCTCCTCGTAGCTCAACCCCTCATCCCAGGAACCAACCTAGTGAACCTATGTTGCATCCCTCTAAGGCGAGTGTGTCCTTTCTTAGATAAGGAGACCAAAACTGCACACAATATTCTAGGCCCTATACAATTGCAGTAAGACTTCCCTATTCTTGTACTCTAACCCCTTTGCAATAAACACTAACATGCTATTAGCCTTCCTAATTGCTTGCTGTGCCTGCATACTAACTTCCTGTGACTGGTGTACAAGGACACCTAAATCCCTCTGAATACTAACCCTATCTAGTCTCCCCCCTCTAGAAAATAATCTGCTTTTCTATTGTTTCTACCTAGGTGAATAACTTCACACTTCCCCACATTATACTCCATCTGCCACCTTCTTTCCCACTCACATAACCTATCTATATCTGTTTGCATCCTCCTTGTGTCCTCCTCACAGCTTACTTTCCCACCTAGCTTTGTATCGAATGCAAATTTAGATACATTAAGCTCTATTTCCTCATCTAAGTCATCAAATAGTTTGTTCTGTTCTCCAAACTGTTAAAGCATGGCATGCTCAATGTTTAAATACTGAATGCTTGGGTGAAAAATTGGGTAGGAGTAAAATATATATTGAAACCATTTACTCAACAGTTATGTAATACTCAGGCAAGTGTTATCACATTTGGCTCTGGTTCAGAAGGGTGTGGGTCCAAACCCACATCAGAGATTTTGAGCTGACACTACAGCATGTTGGAGATATTGTCCTTTGGATGAATTGTTACACTGAAGCCCTGTCTGGATGCCAAACAGTCCATGACACTATTTGTGGTATACCAAATGCAAGGATTATTAGTATTATTTGAAAAGAGAAGAAATTTCTCTGGGTGTCTAGTGAATAATCCTTCCAAAAAAGGGTCATTCAACTAGGTGTTAGTGGAGCATTGCTGTGTACAAATTAGCTCCCTGCTGTGTTCACCTACAAATACACAGTCACTACACTGAACAATAATTACTGTAAAGCACTTTGGGATGTATAGGTACTATATCAAATGCAAGAATTACTATTAAGATATTGGTGTGGTGACATTAACTTAAAGGAGATGTTTAATTGATATTTACTTTGAAAATGATAATTCAGTTTTCCAATTTCAGTTGAAAAGTAGAAGTTATGTACTATAGTACTCCGTTCTATAAAATTGCCTTTATGTAATATTTAATATTCTTTCATTGTTCGGAACTTGTTCTGCACAGCGAGCATTTTTTAGTGTTACTTTTATTGTACTGTGAGATATTCCACATTATACACCTCTAAATGGAGAGCAGATTGGGGTCATTTTAAATGAAATTATTTGGACCTCAAGGGCAGTCTCGGTACTAATTGTTTAACACTTGTGGGGGGACATTGCTTTCGGCAAGAGTTTCAATTAGCAGAGCAGCTGTGTCGGACGTTGGAGGATGGGACAGTTTCCCTCCCAACATTTACCTTTCCCATAGGAATCACGTCTGTTCTCCAGCTCTAAGAAACGCACACACACACACACAGAAACAAGCACAATATTTTTTATTGAAAAGCTGGATGAAGGGCAAAATCATTATCCTTGCATTTGATATAGCAACTTATCACGTCTTCAAGACGTCTCGACGAGTTTCACGGATTATACTGTAAAGTGAATTGACTGTATATTTTGTGGGCAAAAGTCCTCAGTGAGCACTCCACCAAGGTTGAAAAAAGTAACAACACCAACGAACTGCATTTGGATTTATATAGTGCCTTGTTGTTGTTGTTGTTGTTGTTGCCTTTCACCTCGGGGGGATGTCCCAAGGCACTGAAGATTTCTGCAAAGCTCTCCTCATTCGTCACCCGTTTCATATAATAAAAAGATGTTGCTTTGTTAGAAGACAAACAAAGCAAGGCAAAAAGAAATCGTTCATATTATTTGTGCACTCTTCATTCTAACTATGTATCTTAGAGTCCCATCTCCTCCCCCCTCCCTCCATGCCTTTAAAGTCCGCCTAAAGACCTAACTTTTTGACCTTTTGACAAATGTACTACATTTGTGTCACCTCCCCCCAACCCCTCCCCCAAGCTTGAGCTCCCAGTCAGCTGTGATAAGTGTTTTGAGACATCCTCTTGATGCTATATAAATGTAAATTGTTGTTGGATGATACCAACCTCGGGTTTAAAAGCTTCTGGACTGAATGAGGATGCAAATGAGTAAATGAGATTTGGTTAGATAAAGTGTATTCTACGCATGAGACAAAGGGAGCAGAAGGGATGATGGAGAGAGCAACAGCAAACCTCCCAAGGCACTGAAAAGTGTCATAAATTAGTTTAAATGGTCAGCTAAATTGGAAGAAAAATTAATATTCTGGTTTTAGGAAGAAATTATTTTAAAGTCAGCTATTCTGGCATGTAATACATACAGTGTACTTTAATGAATATCATCAAAAATATCGGTAAAATTAGAAACACTAAATACCAGGGACCAACATTTAGATTTGTATTTCAACAGCGAAATATACCACACCCTAAATTACGATACCCCACAGGACATTAGGCTTCCTGTGCCAATTATGCAGGATTTTCACTTTGGAGATTAAATTCAGGAGATTAAATGGGTGCAATGGAATCCCTGATAGTGTACTTTCTACATAGTTTGTACAAGAAATGAGATCAATGTACAGAACAATCTTTTCTCATTCCATGTTTTCTTATCTTCTGGAAAAGCTTGAGTCTTATTAGATCAGTGTATAAAGGAAAGGCTGCAGGACCAGATGAGTGATCTCTGGTACACCATGATAGTAAGTACCCAACCTAATCATCAACCCACAGATTTCAGCTGAGACTAAAGAATTCTGCAACACTTTCCTCACTCGTCTCCCTAGTTTCACGTTTCATATTAATAAAAGTAATAATCTTTGCATTTGATGTAGCACCTTTTACATCAGCATAACATCTCAACGTGCTTCTCAGGTTTTACTGTGAAATGGAATGACTGTGTATTTTGCAGGCAAACTTTTTCATCAGATTTTGTATCCAAGGTCTCATTTGATCGTTACCTCCATCCTTACCTGGCTCCCAGTAGTACAGTTGATTAGCTTCATAATCCTCATCCTAACCTTCATTATGTTGTCCCATTATCTGCTCTATTCTGCCCGAATGCTCCATTCTTCTAAATCTGATCTCCTGCTTAATCTTCATTCCCTCAGTCCTCAGTGACTGACTTTAGTCACTATTTCAGCACTCTGTAATTCCCTCCCCAAATCCATTTGCCTTGTGCTTTCTTTTCCTGCCTTTAAAATTGTCTAAAATCCTATCTCTTTAATTGTGCTTACGGTCAACATCTCAAACTCGTTCCCTCCCTGCCCGGAGATCTCCATCCTCATTATGCAGCCCACCTGAAGATGTTCCTCCTTCATGAACACCACTATGTCAGTGAGTGCAATTTGCTGACGTAATTGAGCAGCAGGGATCGAGTGCACACCTGGCCCAATAGATCACCAATGAAAATGTCTGCACACCACTGTGAAAACTGGAATCATGCCGAATGTGCAGCACTCAATAAACCAAGGAAAAAACATGAATATAGATTTACTGTACATTGCATTCTAAGCTGAATCTGTAACAGACTCCACCTCACAAATTCAATATCGAATTTCTACCAATGTATAGAGCAATTGTGCACTTAAAACATGCTTTTTGTGCCAATTACGGTAGGCAATAATGGTGAGGGTGCTTTGCATCTAAGTCTTTTCAGACCTCGTTTAATTTTAATTGAAATATTTTTAAATGCCTTATTCTCTGCACTTAGACTTGCAATTTCCCACAATGTGAACCAGATCTTTAATGATTTTTTTTAGTATCAATTCGTTACTTAAAAAAATGTCACCGGTGACTCACGAAACTGTGGTTGACGATGGCAAACTCACTTCTCTGATTAAGTCAATCAGCAAGAAATTCAACAGTTTGTCCAAGCAAGATACCTCGGTCAGGAAAGCCCTACTGACATGTGAGTACAACCATGTTTTGCTTCATACAGCGCCTTTCCCTGTTAGGCAATGCAGTCTGGCTGGACACCTGAGTTGGGGATGGAAACCAAAGGGAGTGATCAGGAGAAGGCAGAAATGATTGAAAGCACTATCAAAGAAGTAAATCTTCAGATGGACATTGAAACCTTGAACTTTGTTCATGGACCAAATGGTCTATATCTTCTACAATTATTGATATAGCGCATTATGAGTAGTCAAGGTGTCTCAAAGCGCTTCACAGGATATACTGTAAAGTGTGCAAATATACTGTGCAAATGGTTCAAATGAAACACTGATTGTTAAAAGAGGGATTGAAAATGTAGTAATAATAATAACAATAATAATAATAATCCTTGAATTTGATATAGTGCCTTATCATGTCTTTGAGACGTCTCAAAGAAAAAACAATTCTCAAAGGGTACTTGCAACCTGGAAGTGGCTGCACTTGTTAAGTGCATGTCAGTTTTCAATTGTTGCTAGCCAGCCATTTCTTGGCTGAGAAAAGGCCCGTAATTCAAAGCACAACGCTGGCTGCAAACAGATTTTAGGATTGCAATGTTTTTAATGTGAGAATTTCACAAGAAATGTTGTAGTTTAATTTGCAAAATCGTAATTCGTTCTCAATGCAACAATTTTTTGTTTGCAAATACCACATTTCCACCCTCAATAGGTAGGAACGTAGGAACAGGAGAGGCCATTCAACCCCTTGAGCCTGTTCCGTCAAGCTATTAGATCAAGACTGATCTGTACATCAACTCCAAAGGCATATGCACTGATGATGTTGCACATCAGAGTTTTTTCTGGTTGAGTTTTGGTCAGCTAGGTATCCGACACATGAGGAAAGCCAGTACCATGCTTAAGATTATCCAAACCAGACAAATTGCACATATGTATGCCACATGCATACAGAAGTTTCCTATAAAGTAGTGAGTACTTCTTCCCTGGAAAGATGCACCTCTTTATTGAATTTGCAGACTGGTGAGAGTCAGGGCTTAGAGACCACAAAGCTTGCAGTGTAGTGCTAGAGTTTAACCAGCTAAAACGTCATAGCTTCCTGCTGCTTGTCCAGCTAGAACCACTATACTCATTAAAGCTTTGGTTTTCAGGGTTAACAAGCACCGAATAGGAAGAAACTCTGCTACCAGTGTCTGATCTGCCTTTCCAAGTCCTGCCAACAAGCCAGGCTGCCTGATCTGTCTTCAGCAGTGCCCTGAAGTACTGTGGATCCCCTTGGTTCAGGAACCAGACTGCTGAGACCACCATAGAGGGTTGACTCAATTTCAAATATTCCATTGCCGAGCATGTCACCCTGGAGCTAGGTCAGCTCCGAGGAGACCACATTTGCATCTCCCCTAAGGAGGATAGTCATTGTGGCAAACTCAATTTCATTGAAACGTATTTACCAATGATTCTTCTGCAAATCTGCCCTTGCTGTACAGTGATTAAATTTCACTGGAAAGAAAAAAAGAGAAACTAGTTATATCACAAATCCTACAGGATTTGCATATTTTATTAACACCAGTTGCTTGGTAACGCTTCATTACCATATGAAGACGGATTTTCAAAGTATGCTTACATAATGGATGCCTCTGTTTGTGATGCTATTACCCTTACAGCAACAAATCCTTTACCCTATTTTTGAGTTGCCTTCCTCCTCCTTGTAAGACTCCTCACCCCTTGTATTCATTAACTTTCCCAATATTTCACCCACAAAATACACAGTCACTCCACTTTACAATTCATCCTGTGAAGCAATTTGATTCATTTCAACAACTCGATAAAACGCTATATCAAATCAAGGATTATTATTATTATTAATAAGATAAATGTGCATGCAGCTATGTAATAAACAAGGACAATTAAGCTTGAGTTGTAAAGGCAGCAAAATACTTAATATATGTGAAACAAAAACAGAAGTCGCTGGGAACACTCAGCAGGTCAGGCAGCATCTATGGAGAAACGAAAATGAGTCAACGTTTCGGATCCATGATCCTTTGTCAGAACCTAGTTCAAATGAAGTTCTGACTAAGGATCATGAACCCAAAACATTGGCTCATTTTCCTTTCTCCATAGATGCTGCCTGATCTGCTGAGTGTTCCTAGCGACTTATGTTTTTGTTTCAGATTTCCAGCATCTGCAGTATTTTGGGTTTTACTTAATATAAGTGGGCAGGCACACAACTACAAGGCCTCTAATACTTTTACCCTCAAGCTGGCTTCCCAGCATTACAGACAATGACATGGTGTGACTTGCCCACCAATATGTCTCTATCATCCTATGGGGGTTATACCTATAACCTGATGCCTCACTTTGGAGGCAATATGGAGCTTACCATGTAGGAAATTGCAGGCAAAATCCCATGTTCCACTGCCTATAGTAGAACACCAAAGCACATGTAGCAATTTAGTATTAACTCAGATGAATCTCTATCTCAACACGTAATATTAAACATTAGAGATAGGAATGTAAAATATAGGGTAGAAATGCAGTATGCGATGACAAGCTGGGAGACTTTTGTTATAATGATTTGACCGGTCAATGCAGCTAATATTGAGCTGGCCAGCAGTGCTTTTTTGATCTGTGAATTTATTCAACTTGGTAATTCTCACTGACATGTTTGTACGTGCTTCGTCGAACAATCAAAAGCTCCTTGAGTGGAAATCCCATGCTGTGATAATTATCACATCACAAACTGCATTCTTCCCCCCCTGTAGCTCTAAATTAATCCTATTACATGATGTCTGTTTTGCATAACCCCATCTTCTCTTTAAAAGATGCAACGACCGTGACACTCGACCCTGTAACTGCAAACGAAAACCTTATCCTGTCAGAAGACCGTACAATTGTTCGCTACACAGATGAGATCCAGAAATCCCCCTACAGTCCCAAGAGGTTCGATGATACCCTCTACGTGCTGGGTTCCGAGGGCTTCACCTTTGGCATTCATTACTGGGAGCTGGTGGTGAAGAGCAAGTCTGACTGGGAGGTTGGAGCTGCTTACACATCTATGCCAAGGAAAGGTAAATCTTGGCTGGGTAGAAACGATGTTTCATGGTCTTTGGAATGCAGCGGTGATCAATATACTACCTGGCACAATAACATATCACAAAAAGTGAACATCAAGGGGAAATTGGAAAGGGTTGGGGTTTATCTGAATTATACCGGGGGAGGGTTAGTATTTTATGATGCTGAGAAATTGTTGCCTTTGGTCTCCTTTTACCATAAGTTTACTGAAGCACTTTACCCTATTCTGAACCCCTGCAATAGCAAAGGAGGGAATTTTGCACCTTTAGCCATTCTGCAATTGAAAGGAATTGGTCACATTTAAGGCTCTTGTTACCTGCCGAATATTTCGTGAAGTCTTTTTCTTGGACAAGCACATAAATAGATAATGCTTTCAACACTCAATGAAGTTCCAGTTTACTCAATTAAGTCTCTTAAGTTACTGAGGCTTAGTAAGCCTTTCAAAGCCTAAGTCAATAAAGTAAACTTAAGTTATCTTAATCACATTAGTTTAGTAAATTTCACTGAATTCCTTCAGTTGAATTGTAGCAGAACCACACAAAACATTTACTCCCAGCTATTACTAGTAGACTCCTGCTAGGGATCACTGGTAGTCAAAGTGCCCACCACAAGGCATGTAGTATTCAGATTTTACTTAAGATTAAATACATTTGTGAACTTTCTCATCTTTCCTCATCTCTTTAAATAACAGATGTAGTGAATTAATTGTCTGTCAAATACAACTGCAGTCTGGTTAGCAAAACGCCTTCCATATTATTGAACCACGTTTGTACTTCATTTACTTTTGGTCAGACAGATCATTCCTTTAAGGGCTGTATATCAGATGTAAAACCATAGGAAACCATAGCATGAAAAAAACTACTCAACTCATCATGCTGGTCCACCCTCAGACAACACAAGCCAGTTCTATCAAAGACTTCAGCCCATCCACCCCGTCTCCTCTATGTATATATCCCCTAAATGATAATCAGTGTAACATTTTACCATTCATTGTCACATACGAGCTGTTGAAAGCAGATTTCCTTCCCTTGACAGTCAAGTTTCCCCAAACAGCGAACTGGACCTCGGTTTAACATCTCATCTGAAAGATGGCTCATCCAACAATGCGACACACTTCCAACACTGTATTGGAGGGTTAGCATGGATGATATGAGTTCCAAGTCCTGAAGTGAGACTTGAATCCACAACCTTTTGACTCAAGCAAGAGTGAGCCACCAACTGAGCTAGACTGAAATCTCTATGTCCTATGAAATACTTAGCTCATGTTAGTTTGCATCTAACTCTATATCTTCCAACACCCATGCAAGTACTTGTCCAGCTTTTTTTTTGAAGGAGTTAATTGATGCAGCAACAACAACAACAAGATTACATTTGAATAGCGCCTTTCACATCGGGAGGACGTCCCAAGGCGCTGGACAGAGTAGAGCATTTCAGACCCTAGCTGGGGTCGGTGGGGGGGAGGGGGTTGGCTGATGGCATGGTCAAAGAGGACGGTCTTGAGGCGGGACTTGAAGGAGGCTAAGGAAGGGGCGAGGGGAGTCACTGGGGAATGGAATTCCAGAGGTTGGGGGCAGAGTGGCTGAAGGCTCTCCCGCCAATGGTTGCGCGGGTGGGTCGGGGGACGTGGAGCAGGCCAGAGCCGGCTGAGAGGAGGAAACAAGGAGATTGGTAGGGAGTTAGGAGGTCACAGAGCTAGGGTGGGGCGAGGTCATGGAGGGCTTTGTATATGAGGACCAGGATCTTGAACTGGATCCTCTGAAGGATAGGGAGCCAATGGAGTCGGGAGAGAGTGGGGGAGATGGGGTCACGGAGTTTGGTGCGAGAGAGGACACGGGCTGCAGAGTTCTGGATTATCTGCAGCCTGTGGAGGGAGGAGTTGGGAAGGCTGACAAGCAGAGCGTTTGCATAGTCGAGCCTGGAGGTGAGGAAGGCATGAACAAGAGTTTCAGCGTCCTGAGGGGTGAGGTAGTGGCGGAGTCGGGCAATGTTACAGAGGTGAGGGAAGGCAGAGCAGGTCATGGCTTGAATGTGGGGGAGAAAAGACAGTTGAGGATCGAACAAGACACCTAGGTTCCTGACTGGTTTGGTGAGTTGAAGTGTGCAACCATGGAGGTTGATGTTGCCAGAGCCTGAGGTGCAGAGGCGCTGGCGCGAGCCAATCAGGAAGGCTTCAGTTCACATTCAACGGTAGGAAATTTGCCCTCATCCAGGACTTGACGTCCGACAGGCAGTCTGTCAACACAGCGGTGGTCCTGGAGTTGAGGGTGGAGGCAGAAAGATAGAGTTGGATGTCATCCGCATACATGTGGAAGTTGACCCCATGTCTGTAGATGATGTCACCAAGGGGGAGCATGTAATTAAAGAGGAGAGGGCTAGGACAGAGCCCTGGGGGATGCCAGACGTGACAGTGCAGGGGCTGGAGGAGAAACCGTTAGAGGCAACAAAGTGGAGACGGTGAGAGAGATAGGAATCGAACCAGGCAAGGGCAGATCCATGAAGATTGAGTAAGGCGGAGAGGCGGTGTATGAGGATAGAGTGATCAACAGTGTCAACAACTGCTTTTACTGGAAGTATGTTCCACATATCCTGTACTCGAGGGAAAATATTTCTTCTAATCTCTTGTCCTGCTTGATGGACAATTTTAATTTTAAACCTGTGTACATATTACACGGATTGAACAGAAAGGTCAGAGTATTAGATTCCATTGTTATACTAACTCACCAAAGTACCAGTTTGCACTGCTGGGAGTGGTATGACATTCTTACCATGTGTAGAGCAAATCTGCCTTTCCTATTTTCTCTTTGCTGAACTGAGCACACATAGCTTAGCTGACTGCAAGATGGTATCTTAATGTTGTTGATAAGTGATAGTACTTTATTGTGGATGATGGATGATGTATTTTATAATAATCCTAGTATTTTATTATTGATGATGGGTGATAATACTTACTGATAATGTGAGTTGATGGTATTGTAATGTTATTGAAGAGCCGTTTATACAAACCTTTGTCATAAAGCACATCATATAAAGGATATATAAACTATATATAGTCCATACATATATATAAATATATATATATATGTGAATTGGATATAAAGTAGCTTCACCTTGAAACGTGTGCTCCCACTGGTTTAACATGCAAATAGGCAGTCTGGTTTGAATCTTATTTGATCCACGAAATTTGGTGGTGATTTGTCAGCACAGGTGCAATGTAAATTGAGAGTTGGCCAGCCACATTACAGCTCTGACACCCTCCCCCCACAGCCAAACACAAGCTACTTAGGTGCAAGACTTCACTGACCCAGTGAGGTAGAAGCATGAATGTAACCTTTCATAAGCTGAACCCTTTTTGTTCTGTGCAAGTAGTGGAACCTTTATGCATTGTGGAGATTGCTGAATTGGGTAGGTTGTACTGCAGTGCAGTTTGGCATCTCTTCAATGGCTCCCTGCTGTACAGCAACAACAGGAACAAGAGATACACTAATTGTCACCTCATTGAAATGTGAATGCCAGAAACAGGGCAATCAGGTGAGGTCAAAGATTCTCATAAGTAGCCAATTGCCCTGAAAGTTTGACATTGAAACCTCAATGGGAAGCAGAGATGAGTTAACAAGCCACTTACTTGAATGATCATTCTCTCCTGAGATTTGGGGAAAAGTCAATATCCCTTTGTTTTACTTAAGGCAAAGTAGGTGATCATTTTGCCTACAAAATATACAGTCAATTCACTTTACAGTATATTCTATGAGGTGCTTTGAGATGTGTTGAAGACATGATAAGGCACTATATCAAATGCAATGGATTATTATTATTTTGGATGGGACATAAGGCAGGGAAGGAGCACGTAAAGCTGTGGCTGACTGGGTGAGAGCAAGATAAAGGGGAAAGAGCTGTTGAAAAGTACATTGGATCATACTTATTGCATGTGACGTAAAATGGTAGTAAAATCCACAAATTACTGTCATTGCCGTCTACGCCTAGATTTATTACTAGGTTTAAGAACGTGTTACACCCACACTAAGCTGTTACGTGTTCAGCACTGTGAAATCAGATATCAATCAGAGTCTCCAAAGCAATGTGGAATGGGGTGTGTGAACCAGGCTTCCTGAATCATATCGCTGTTCATCTGGGATTGCTACTGCTTTGGTTCCGACAGCATAAAATCAGCATGATGTAACTGGACAGGAGTTTTCTGTTTGTTTTTTTTGAAAAGTGCAGAAAAGCTTTTCAGCAAAAATCACTCATTGTGCAGTCAGAGCCCTTGCTCCCTGCAGCCACTTCCCCTCACATCACTCACACTGTAGCCAGAGGCTACAGTACAAACTGAGCATCAAATCCTTGCTTTCTAACTGTTAGGAGATAGTAAGATGTATGTGTATTGATCTGAGCTCCAGAGATCTGTAACTTCTGTAACAAGTAGTGTGCATGGTAATAATTTAAGATGTTACTGTGCATGAAAGGGAACTCTTAGCTGGGGTGAAGCTGATTTGTTCAGCTGTATGCAGAGCAAAGCCTGTTCAAACAGCCCCAATTACATGCATCATTAGATTTGATGCGGGCATAGCGTGTAGCCTGGATATACTGATTGATAACCTCCTTCGCTGCATCTCAATAAAGTGCTTAGTTTTACCCGACCGTGTCAAGAACTTCATCTCAGCTTTGTACCACCACCACCAACAGCATTTATATTTATATAGCGTTCTTCACGTGGGGTAGCGTCTCAGAGCGTTTACACAACGTCATTGCTTGATCTGAGCTCGAGAGAGAATATCTGGTAATAAAAAGTAACCAGCCTCTGTCCTGAGGAATTGTGAGATCACAGATTCCTTGCTACAGAGCTGCCAACCAGGCAACTGTGATAGCTGGGATTGAGTGACAGCCACTGTGGGATTCCAACCCCGTACCAGCTGGTTACGATGTCAACCCTATCACCAAGGTCCTTCCAGGCTGAAAAATATATAGTTTGGTTAAACAAAATTACATATTCCCTCGAATACGATGGAACTCAAAATCTGTTTAATTCAGTGTTAAATGTTAACAGCAACAACGACTTGCATTTATATTGCACCCTTCACACCAGACAGCGTCTCGGCTTATATTGAAGTCAAGGTATACAGTGATGGTTCAATCCTGATCTACAGTCGAAT